AGAGAAGCAGCAGTGTCGTACTTTATCAGAGTTGCTTGTACCAGAGCGGTTGATATCAGTCTTCGTTAAGTTGAGGGGCTACTGATGATTTCTTGCTTCTATCCTGCTTCTGTTGGTTTATAATTTTAGTTTAGCCTGGAAGCTAAGAGGGGATTAGTAAACACGCAATAGTATGGTACACTGCTGCCAGCTGACTCACCAGCAACAATGCATGTCCAAAGGGGAGGCAGAGGGAGAGATACCACCGACAACCTGGGTGACAGGCCACCGACAGTGCACCCACCTCTGTAGGTCTGAGGGCGACAGGTCAAGAACCAGGTGAGACTAGTAATCAAACAGAAAAGGGACCGAACTGCTGAGGTGATTGAGTGAGTGAGATGCTGCATTGCTACTGGCTGACTCACCAGCAACAATGCAAGTCCAAGAAGAAAAAAGGAGAGACACTGTCTGTTATCTGGGTGAGCCACCAACGACAGTGCTCCCACTTCTGAGGGGCTGAGGGTGTTGGCTCCAAGAACCAGCCGTGAGCGAACAGCGCCTGTTCCCCTCTATGGTTAACTTGAGAGTAACAGGACTATGCCATTCTCCAGGCCAATCCGTTCAGTAACCAGCTGACCCAGCACCACCTCTAATGGAAGATGTGGTTCGGATTGGACTTCGCTAGGATTTGTCAGTTTTTCTGTAGACACTAATGCTCTCTCGAGGAAAGACATGAGCCCCGGCGAAACTGACCAAAAACGTGGCAGGGATTCTCACCCTTCTAATAAATACATAAATAAACAAAAAAGATACAGCAATTAATCGAAAGATATTCACCATACCATCAAAAGATGATTGACACAAGTTACATGAAAGCTTGCGAAACAAACAACCTATCAGAACCACCTACAAAGTAATATTGAGATTGTTAAAGGATTCAAGGTGAAGCTAACAAGAGCATATAATACGTAATTTACAGGATTCATTAACACCATTTTTATATCAAGCCATCAAATGATTAAACATGATGGAATCGCACAAGTACCCTCACATCGTCAGCTATAGAAAGGATTCAAGGTGAAGCTAACAAGAGCATATAATACGTAATTTACAGGATTCATTAACACCATTTTTATATCAAGCCATCAAATAATTAAACATGCTGGAATCGCACAAGTACCCTCACATCGTCAGCTATAGAAAGATGCAGATGTTATACACAATATCATGAGAATCAATATGTGGGTATATACATATCGGTAACCATTTTACTGACACTACAACATCAACTTTAATAGGACTTTCCACAAACACTGCAAGAGATATTCAGTCAGTGGCGTAACGAAGGGCCCCGCTGACCCCGCTGTGCAGGGGGGCGCCGTCTTGGGGGGGTGCCAAATCGTCGTTTGAATGTGGGACAATTTCGAAAACTTAAATAAAGTACTAGCAAAACTGCGCGTTTTGCTCTAGATACACACTTTTTTAGAGATTTTTACCGGCATATCCTCTAAAATCACCTAATTTGCTCAATTTTAGGGAGGGGCACCAAAAGGGGAGGGGGCGCCAACAGGGGGGCGCCTTTTCGGCAGGGGGGCGCCAACAGGCAACGTTACGCCACTGTATTCAGTTGAAACATGTTTAATGCTTTTATGGCTTTTTGACCAGTATTAAAGAAATAAAAAAATTGCCAAGGAATAAAAAATGTCAAACAGTATTATATACAATAAAGTAATTCAAGTGTTGCAATTGGCAGAGCACAATACAGAGGTAACGGAAATTGTCCACTGCTACCAATATTATATAATATGAAATATCAACAATTAGATATATACACATCTACTCCATCATAGGGGCAGGGATGAGGTTATAAGAGACTACTGATAGTGGAGTCTCATATTTGCTGTCCATTTTTTTTCTTCTGTACCCTCGTAGAGCTATGAGTGCGGTTCTTAACATAGCGAATATTATTCTTGTCCTTACATGTCTTACCACATCGCAATACCTCTCTTTTCTTTTCCTTTCCAACAGCCAGGTAGCGCAGTTGGTTAGAACGCCTGTCTTACAATCGTTAGGTTGCGAGTTCGAAACCCACTGACTGCCTGGTCGTGGGGTGAGCGTCGTCGACGTTCAGCTAAGGATCATGAGTGGTCTATGCAGCCCCCCGGTCTACTCAGCCGAATACTCGAGAAATCCGGTGTGAGGGTTAAATGAGGAGCTGCACATTGCAGCAAAGTCTCGGACGAAGAAAGTATGGTACACACTACCTTAACCGTCACTGGCCAAAAAAGATCCTTCGGCTTCCTGTAATTGGCTGGTTGCACTTGTGTAACATTGTGGCTGTTGGAATACATCGAAGTAAAATAAGTGTCTAGATAAAAAAAAAAAAGGTCTGCCACTCAATTTAGAAACCGCTTACATTCTTTGGACATGCCTCCAGTTGAGAGAAATACGGCTGGGGTGAAAGTGGCCTTCTCTACGTTGTGAAAACTGGCCACAGGCCTAAATATTACATATCAATCAATTACATATCATATTATTTGATTGGTATTCGATTTCTGATTATTTCCCTAGGAATATGATTATTATATCTCAATTTGGCTTTAGGTAGGGTGCCCCGCTAAAAGAACTGGATTCTTCCAGGAAGCATCCCGTGCACAGAGCTTGGTCTACATATATATTAAATTATTAACCATTCATTCTGTATGTGCACGAAAATCAATCAATTACAATTCATTAATGTTACCAATATTAAAAACTATCCTTCTCTACGTTCAACACTCTCTCCAAGTACTTATCCTTCTTCTCCTTTTCGTTCTCTTCGTATACTTCTTGAAGAGTTTAGGTCCTGTTTGATAAGCAATTGGGGTGTGAAACCCTTATGTCAAGAAAGGTCTTATCAAATTGAGTCCAAACTCCTCTAGCAGATACGTCAAACCGAGCTTGGTCACCTGTTATAGTCTTGGGTTATTAGCCAAGGAATAAAACTTTAAAGTACCAAAATTTTAAACTGGCTTACTTATACTACTTAAAGGGTGTTTATAAATTTTATTTAGTAGGTATTGAATTTATATTGAATTTTTATATTGAATTTTTATATAGGGTAATTGTTATATTATGTGTATATTGTTTGAATAATTTTCTTTCTAAATTTGGATCAACAAGTGATAAAAAATTCACAAAATATACATATATATACAGGGTGGGCCAAAAGTCAGTACCCATACGTTGGCCTTAATAGCTCCGCCGTGTGGTATATTTGAGAGCTGTTGCTTTGCAGATGGCATACTGTACTTACTGGTTACTGGTCGTCAAAATTTGAAAATTCGAATATTTTAGACCACACCCATTCAATATTAAAACACCTATATTGTTTTCTCTGAACATGCTGAACGCCTAATTTTTTCAGAGACGGTAGATTATCAAATGTTGCATATGATCTGAAAACATGAGGCAAAACGGATTAGAAATGACGAAGTTATCAAGCATTTTCTGTATCTCGTTAACAATACTGACTGGGTGATTATGTGACACCGTGACACGATTCCTTAATTGGGCACCCTTAACAATTCCCATAATGTTTAACGGGGTAGTTCACGGGGTCACCTTATCACGTGATTAGGTAAACCAATCACCTGATCACACGTAATGAATAAACTCGTTATGCTTCATATCTCGGTCATCTGAGAAGCTACAGTTCTAATTCTTTCAGGACAAACGTAATTCGAATGGCCAAACACAATTCAATAACATTTAGCATGATCAGACTATCCAAACTATCAAATAAATGTGAAAATGAACCTCCATTTGAAAAAAATGAACACGAATATTTTTCGAGTTGACAAATTCCTCGAACCAGTGGTGGTACTAAGTCATACCAGAAGGAAGTATTTAAATTGGGCACTCAGTGACTGAGCTATAAAGGCCAACGTATGGGTACTGACTTTTGGCCCACCCTGTATATTTTGGTCTGTTGACTCAGCTTTGGTTAGACGGGTAGTAAATATATCTGAAGAGCGAGGGTTCCCAAAATATGATATAAATGCTTTTGAACTAATAGTGAAACAAATTTTAGTGAAACAAATTTAAAATTTTATCCTTTATTTTACAATCATAATATAATAATATTTATAAGCCTCCGTTTTGAAAGTTTTAAATTTTAATACATTCACATTTCTATTTAAAATTCAATTTTATGTACAAGTCAATAACTGGCCGCCAAAGCCGCGCATTCTTGAAAACAGGATTAACTTGATTATAGTTATACGACTATGTAAATTTAAAACTATCCGTGGTTTTTTCTTTTAAATAAATAAATTATAATTTTACCTAAGTCCAAAGCCAGCTTTGAAAAATTTACTATTAAATCATAATATATCGTCAACTTTAAATATTTACAATGCAACAATTCATTAATCTGTAAACACGCGTACTCCAGCCCCTAAACCATAAACGCATAAATTGTTATGCGGCGCGGCTCAAGCCGCGCACGCACGTATTATTTTATACTGTTTGCTTTCTAATAAATATCGTGCCAATGTGTACGTCTAAATTGTAAACGTTCATGTTTTGTGTAAAGTGAATCCAATTGGGACTAGTGACAAGGATAAGGACCCAAGTGCCTGTACGGCTTTTTCGGACCCCTGTGGACCACTTCTCTTGAAATCACTCTACAACATTGAACATCTATATCTACTACGTCATTTGGCAATTATTGTCATTAATCTAACTTTCTAATTAATTGCCGGGGGGGAAGAGTAGACGCTTCACATTCAAATTCAATATACAAAATTCAAAACCATCAATACGGTATTAAAAATTTTGGACAAGTCTATAGATCTATTTCGTAGTCATATAATCACATGATTTGCTTTATATTATTTTAATACTGTAATGAAGTACAGTAGGATTTGTGTTTCGAGAAAGAAAGGTTGCGGTCAAATTATTAACAAAAGTAAACAAAAGTCCATCAGGGACTCCGTGGAGTCGAGAAAGGTACACGGCTGCTGTCTGGTGCTGCTAGGCATTTATTGATCAAGATGTTTTATTGTATTGATTTATAATGATTCTATTGTTCGTGACTAATCAAGTTCTAAGTGGAGGTATAAAGTGCTGCTCAAGATACTTCGTCATCTCATGTCCAGTATAATGATTAAGATAGTATACAATGCAGTTTTAGTAGTTGACCCATACAGATAAGTCCGTCATAATTCACAATCGTTAAGTCGTCGGTCAATTGTCAAAGTCGTTGTGTGTTTATTCGTTGAGATAGCAGTAAGATAAGATGTTACGCGCGCGCGCGTTTAATCCCGTCGAGGTGAAATGTGACAATGAAAACGCCATAGAATTATTATTTTCGCGCGTTACGTAGAGTTTACCAGTGTGTAATACTAGTTAACACTGGGTGTACACTGAGTGTAAGTGTAAGTTTCATATACAAGCCGTTGAATATTTCCAATTTTGAGTGTATCGTGAGCATGTTTTACAGTGCGATTGCTCGGTACTAGTATGTTTGTGTATATATATATATATATCATTTGTGGAGTATGGTGTAAGTAATGTTTTTGGTTGGAGTGCAGTGGTTATATGTATGAGAAAAGATATATGGTCATTTTAGTAACTCACATAAATCAGAACTTGAGCTCATTTGTGGCAAAATTAAGCTCACACCAATCAAGTGTATCATGCTTGAATTGCAATTCTCGTAAGGCAATTTTCAATATATTCTTAAACCCGTTTGTCGGAGTATTAAAACTTATCTTACTTGATGTTTGTCGACAGCTGTTCCACATGTAGGATGATTGGTAGATGAATTGTGAGGATGGTTGTGATGTAATGAAATAATCCTCTCGTCGTGGTGACCTGTTAAATGATGAGTACAGTGATAATGGTTCCTCTAACTTATTAATTTTGAATAGTTCTAAGAGACAAGTGTACTTGTACAGATTGTGGACCGTCAACAACCTGTGGGTTTTAAACAAGGGCTTGGAGTGTTCTTTTTGGTAAAAGTCCACCCCCAGTCTTTGCTTATCAACAGGTCGTGTTCGGGCACACGTTTTAAACTTCTCTAGGTAAGCTTCTCTTTCCCCAAACAGAATTCTTATACACTTTTTCTGTGTTTTAAAGATAGGTTCAAGTCGGTTATTACTAATACCACCCCACACAGATATTCCAAATCCTAAATGTGATTCAAATAGAGTATGATATAAATCCTTATAATACTGCTTTGGGACAATGTGTCGTATTCTGCACAGCTTTCCTACTTCGCATTTAAGTTTTGAGTTAAGTGACTGCGTATGTGATTTCCAGTTAAGTTGGTCGTCAATAATAACGCCTAGAAATTTAGCTTCTTGAACTCTTTTAATAACTACATTATTTAAAGTTAGTATGTTCTCGTCATTTTCTACTTCCTCTTTGGCCCGTGAGGGTTTAAAATGAATAAAACAACATTTCTTAATGTTAATATGTAATAAGTTTAGTTTCATATACTTGTACACAAATGATAGAACTTCATTTCCTTTTTCGTATAGTCTTTTGACACATGTGTCTTCTATAAATATGTTAGTGTCGTCGGCAAATAGTATAAACTTTCCTATAATTGATGAGTTACGGATGTCATTAATATAAATAATAAAAAGTAAGGGACCAAGACAGCTCCCCTGCGGCACTCCATAGACTACTGGAAGTTTCTCGGATTCTTCACCTAATACCGAGACATACTGGTATCTGTTCGACAGGTAACTTGCTATAAGGTTATTTGCATTTCCACGGATTCCATAATTTTCTAACTTATGCAGTAACTTTTCATGTGATATTGTATCAAAGGCTTTACTAAGATCAATAAATATTCCAAGAACGTGTTGTTTTTTCTTGAGGCAAGATTCTACGTGGTTCACTGAGTAATTTAGGGCATAACTGGTCGAGTGATTTTTACGGAATCCGTACTGGTTTTCATATAAGGAGTTCTGTGAATGAAAGAAGCTGTATAATCTATTGAATATAATCTTTTCAAATATTTTACCAAACACAGCTAGCGTTGATACAGGTCTATAGTTTTCAAGGAGTTCCTGGTTATCTTTCTTGTAAATGGGACTAATCCTTCCAACTTTAAGGTCATCTGGAAATATGCCATCTTTCATACATTCGTTATACAGTACAGTGAGTAAAGGAGTAACTATTTTAGAGGACTGCTTAATTACATGAATCGGTATGTCACTTGCCTTGCCATTTTTAAGTTCAGATATGATTTTGCTAACCTCGTCTGTTGTGCAGTCATGCATGTAAATGCTGGAAGTGTTTGAAAGCGGTAGATAATCATAGAAACTAGGTATACTGTTTATGTTAATTTGTCCAAGATCATTGTAAGCGGTATTTAGGTCAGAGGCTAATGATACAAAATATTTATTGAATTCGTTTGCTATGATCCTTCTATTTGTTATCTTAACGTTGTCTATGGTGAACAGCGGCTTTATTTCACGCCGCCGTTTACCTCTTATACGATTTATTAGTTCCCAGGTCTTTTTACTATCACCGCTATTTTCAGCAAATTTACCAGAGAAGTATTCTGTTTTCACAGTTTGACGTGTTTTCTTTAGGACTTTTCTGTATTCTTTGTAGATAAGGTAGCGACTACGTTTTAGTGAGCATTCAGGGCACTGGCAAATGCCGCCCTTGTTATCAGTTTCCCCGAGTTTACATTTTCTATTTCTTATCTCAACCCAATTTTCGTACAGTTTATGCTGATTATTAATTGAGCAAATGAGACCGGGAGTTATCCAAGGGTTAACCTGAACAGTTCTCTTAGAGGTTTTCGGGGTCTCTAGTTTAAACGATTTTTCGACGCAGTTTTTGTAAGTGTCATGGAATTCAGTAAAGTTGTGGATTGTTTTAGTTTTAAGCTCATCTTCAAGATCCACTAGGAAGCCGTTAACATTTGATTGACAGAAGTCGTAATATTGTTTAAAAGAAGTTTTTTCAGAGTTGACTTCAACATTCCAGTTAAATGTGTTAAAAATAGGTGAGTGATGAGTTATTCGTTCTTTTAGGGTGCCTGAAGTAATCACATTCTCAATATCGTTAGTAATAATGTTATCTATGCAGGATGCTTTACAGCCTGGTTTTTCGTGGGTAACAATAGATATTAACGGACAAAATCCTTTACTGAATAATATTTCTTCATATTTTTGAACATTTTTGTTATCTTTATCATGAAGATCGATATTAAAGTCTCCAGCTAGATAACTAAACTTCGGCATGTGATCAAGAAGGTTAGAAAGTTCAACTAGAGCTTGGGAAATACAGCCACTTGGTGGACGATACAAAACACCTACATTAACAGGTTGATCTTCGTTACTTAATGATAAGACAAGTATTTCTAGATGTTCTGTGACTTGTGATATATTCTCAATTACAGTAGCATTTAATTTATCGTCAACATAAAGGGCTACTCCAGTGCCCTTTTGTTTGTAAGGTGCTGTGTCCTGATAGTAACTATTATAACCGTCGAGCTGAAATAGATTGCTTAATTCTTTTCCAGTGTTGGTTTCAGCTAGGGCTATTACGGAGAATTTTGTTTTGTACCTACAGGTTTCAATGGCAAGGTTGTCAAAATTTGATTTATTTCCATCAATATTTTGAAAGAGAATAGATGATTGTTTCTTTACTTGGTTGCAGAGAATATTTGTAAGGTCAGATGCAGTGTATGAGTTACAATCATTTAAAGTATTTGAGATTTTGGTTGTGTATTCGTCTAGGTTGTTGTCGTCGTCGTCATTGTCAGTGAGTAGTTTAAATGGGTTGTATTTAACCTTGTCTAAATGGATACAACGAGTACAGTAAAACTCATTAGATTGGCTATTTGGATTTGATTTGCGATAGCATTTATGGTGCATTATGCAGTCACAGTGAAAACATTCAACTATTGTTTGGCCGATGACTATGTTCTTAGAACAGACAGGACATACCTCCTTAATGAGGGGAGTCATGGTTGGTAACCATCCACGTGACCCTGACTAGCAGCAGCAGGAACAACAGGACCAGTTTCTCTTCCAGCAGTCGCATCCCTGTAGGATCTATCGTCTACCCTTGTGGACCTCCTCTTCCTTTTGTCGATACCACCGTTAATCCTGAGAAGAACAGTGTTACGAATAAATTGACCTAACTTTGCTAGTCCCCTCCAGTTGAGGTGAAGGAAGTCCGGTTTTTGGTATTTGTTGAGGTCGCGAGAGAGAGGGCGGTCAAGGAGACCATCCCTATCACAGAACTCATCAAATCCATCCACATAACTGACACCAAAATTGGACGGGAGCAGCCTACATCGAATCAAACTGTTAAAGTATATAAGCTTTCTATTTAAATCAGCACGTTTAGAAGGAATTGTTGGACAAACATATACATGCACACCCGGATTAATAGATTGTATCTGGGCAATTTTTGAAACTAGATGGTTGTAGAGGCTTTTTAAAAAATGCGCTAATCGTCTTCTGCTGCAATGTGTTTTCAACATCTTTAAAACTAGAAGGAAGCAACACTTGTATACACGTAAAAGGTTTCGCAACATGATACAGTAGCACCGAAAACACATTTTGTTTGAGCGCTCGATTTTCATAGTATAGTGTAAATCAACGAAAATATGCGTGGCTCCAGAATATTTTTTATTCACTTAAAAGATGTTTTTGATCATCAAAACATCAAATATGTTTAAATTAAGCTTTTTGATTACAATCGGTAAACGCCCATTGCCCATGACATTACATTAAAGTACCAAAAATTATAAAACTTGTTTTGTAGGTTTAAAACGAACCAAAACGCGCACAGAGTTGGAACAAGTATTTTATGTTTTACAGATATTACCGGTTAAAACATTTAATTTAATGTTTAAAGCACTTTTTTAGATTTTAAACCGAACAATTTTTAAAATGTAAATGGTTAAAAGTATTTTGATTGCTGCTTTTTACGTAGGAAAGCTTTTAAAAAGTTTTATATGCCGACAAATATTTGCTAAAGATTTTATTTTCTACCCTCGTTCTTAAAAT